ACTGTTTTTAATCTGCAGATTGGACCTACATATCTGGATTTTGATAATGCTGTTTTTGCAGGAATGCATTTCAAATATACATTGTTTGTGAAAGTGTCTGATGAGGGAAGTCCTGCACTATCAAGTAGGAAGTAACTAATTTGAAATATTCAAATAGTTTGACATAGAAAACACACAGTGCATTTAAAAATTTGAGTTTATCATATTTATAAGTATTCTAATAATCTGTTAGAATAAACTATGCAATATATTATTCTTATAATAACTTATTCAGTACTTATGCACAGCTATTTAAAAACTGAAAGTCTACATAAAAACAAACTAGAGGAGAGAATGACACCCAAATGTTTAATATAGTACATTACAGTTATTTAGAGACAATGTCAAAAATAAACATTTCTAGAGTGCTTGTGTATTTAAAATATTTCTCAAGGAATTATTTGTTCTGCTTTAGGGAATATATTAATATTCAGATTCTCATAGTAAATTTCATTCTTTCATTATTATGCTGAAGTATTTTAATTATATTTCAATTGGTGAATACTGTGGTTAGCTTTTGGAAACTATGGTTTTTGATTCAGAATAGTAGCATTTATATATAAACACACCATAAAAGACAAATTGCTTTGACAGGTGTTCAAAAAACTCAATAGAATGTTCTAATCCTAAACTTATTTTCAAGTGCTCTGTAATTGAAAAGGTAATAATTTAATATTAAAACATATCAATATATATGTACTTATAAAATTTATGCCATGAGATTTTAGAATATAAAATAATATGATAATATGAGGTGTTAATTAAAAAGGAAAAGAAAAAGGAAGGATTATGAAGAAGACACATTACTGCCTTAGCCACATATTTTATGTGCTTTTTTCTCCTTAGCAATCATTACAGTCATTGTAAGTGTGAATCGCATAAATGAACTGAATCCAATTGGAACCGCGTCGGCATTTACTTTCAGTGTATTTGAAAATAGTTCAGTTGATACACTAGTTGGGAAAGTTACATTTACTGATGCAGACTGGCCATTTAATAATATGAAATATACCATTGTTGGAGGCAATTTGGGAACACCTCCCAAATTTTACATTGAACCAGATACAGGTATCATAAAATGCTGATATCAATTAATCATGAAAGTAGAGAGTTCATTCATATACACTCAGTGAAAATTTATTTAGAAACTGTGATCATGTGAATATCTTTCTCTTGAACTATTTAATGTTCATCTGGATTTCTTAGCTGTATCCATAATTTTTTTTTTATTGTACTTTAGGTTCTGCAGTACATGTGCAGATCGTGCAGGATTAGGTACACACATGGCAATGTGGTTTGCTGCCTCCATCCCTACTTCACCTACATCTGGCATTTCTCCCCATGTTATCCCTCCCCAACCTCCCCACTCCTCCTGCTGTCCCTCCCTTGCCCCACCCCAACAGACCCAGTGTGTGATGCTCCCCTCCTTGTGTCCATGTGTTCTCATTGTTCATCACCCGCCTATGAGTGAGAAAATGTGGTGTTTGATTTTCTGGTCTTGTGTCAGTTTGCTGAGAAATATGGTTTCCAGATTCATCCATGTCCCTACAAAGGACACAAACTCATCATTTTTTATGGCTACATAGTATTCCATGGTGTATATATGCCACATTTTCCTTGTCCAGTCTATTGTCAATGGGTATTTGGCTTGGTTCCAGGTCTTTGCTATGGTAAACAGTGCTGCTATGAACATCCGTGTGCATGTGTCCTTATAATAGAATGATTTATAATCCTTTGGGTATATGCCCAGTAATGGGATTGCTAGGTCAAATGGAATTTCTATTTTTAGGTCCTTAAAGAAGTGCCACACTGTCTTTCATAATGTTTGAACTAGTTTACACTCCCACCAACAGTGTAAAAGTATTCCTATTTCTCCACATCCTCTCCAGCATCTGTTGTCTCCAGATTTTTTAATGATCTTACCTAAGGCAAAGTGCTGAAGCTTTGATCTTTGCTATATTCAACTTCAGAAAGCCTATGCATATGTGCTCTTCCATGTATCCAAGAATATAACTAACAAGTGACTAAAATAGTGTATACGTTAATACCTGTTATAATTTTGCTGCTGAATTACACTTTAGGGGTATGAATATATAATGAATTCACTTGTATTAGTTAATTTCTATTAATTATTATAATGATTTCATTTATAGAATTAATAATATAGAATAAATTGAAAATATTTATTAATCCTGGGATAACTGGTCTCCCTTTATTTTTGTGTCAGGAGTGATAAAGCTATTAGATTCACTAGACAGAGAAATTGAACCACATTACAAAATATCTGTGAGAGTAACAGACTTGGACAACGATGCTATCCCTGACCCTCTCAGGCAGAGAAGTGGTATGGCTCACGTGACCGTCAACGTTCTGATAAGAATGAGTCACTGCTTGTGACATTGTTATCTCTTTGGAAGCACATTCTTGAGAAATATAAATGAGGAAAAGTTGTAAATCATTACATTTCAGAGCCCTCAGTATGGATCTAAATTCAGAGAGTAGTATGTTTGTCCAAAAATATTCTGACTGTAAAATACATTGACAGAATTGTCATTATATACAAATTAACCCGTGTGACTTCTAAATTAATTTGATTGTCTTACAAATCTGAACTTAGATGTAGAGTGAGGATACCTCGTTGTAATTCAGAAGTTACTGGAAGGATTATTTTGTGGTTAAACATATTTCCATAAGCAAGCAAACATACGATCTAGAGTTCTAAGAAGTTACTTTGATATATTTTAATCTGTTTCTTGATTTGTCTGCTTTTTCTCACCCTCCCTAGTTTTCATAGAGGAAATATCTTAATATTTTTTACTAACAAAGATTCTAAGAGATCAGCCTCAGAGCCTCACAAACATGATGACATGAAGTATAGAGGCAAGAAATTCTAAGTTTTAAAAAAAAATTCATACAAGAATATATTTTACTTGGCTTGTCCAAGACTTACGTCAATAAAATTATGTACATTACTTTCATTGGCAGAAGTATATAGAAGGAAAAATTTGCCTTTATAGATAGTGCCAATTTTTTTTTATCTTATAATTTTGTTTACACTCTTTTTTTTGGTGCTTGAGAACAGTGAAAATTCTAACACTGGATATTATGGAAATATTTAAAACCAAAAACATTGTTTAGAGCCTGTGCATACTCTTGCATGGTGAACACTTTCATAGGTGTTCTTAGTGAGCTAAAATAGTTAGCGGTGGTCATGACTCAGTGTTACAATCCCTACTCTAGGCTTATTATGTCTGGAAAACACAATAAGCCAGGCCAAAAGTCTTTGCAGGGGGAAGTTTAACAAACTGACTTGAATGGCTTCAATCATGACTCAGAGGATGTCATAAGCTAATAAACTTACTCTCCTTATGCCAGCTTTCAATAATACATCCCAAGACACTCTAAGTTACAGTTTCTCAGTAGATGTTCTTCATATTTGCATTTCTGCAAAGTTGTGTCACTTTCATTTTGTGTGTGAATCCCTATGTTCCAATAGGTAAGAGAACAAACAATCTCTGTTCTTCATCTATAGAAGCATTCACATTTTTTCTCTAACGTGACTAGAAGGATTGGTTTAGGAAAGAATACTTGATTTCTCGAGACCAGGCAAAAGACTATATATTTCCCACTGTCAGATGGGTAAGCTTAACTTTGCCAAAGACACTGTTACTAAATTTAAATACCTTTTCTCTGAAAATACTTCCAACCAAACTGGGTGGAAGGTATCAAAATGCTTCACTTAGGAAAAAATAGGTGAAAGACAAAATTCTCTAGCACAATGGAATTTTTTATACTACATTTTGTTCAAAAAAAGATTGATGCTGACATATGAAAGTAAACACAATAGAGTAATATTACATAAAGCCAGGGCAATGGATAAATTTTATCTGTAAGAATAAACAAATAACAAAAATTTATGTTATTTATAAATAAAAGTTCAATACTGATGATTATCCTTCCTCTCTCAATTCACATATTGAAGCCATAACTCCCGGTGTGATTGCATTTAGAAACTATTCATATTTGTATTTGGAGGTAATTAGGATTAGATGAAGAAATGAAGGTGAGAACATGGTCTGATGGTATTAGTGTCCGTATAAGAAAAGATTCCAGAGAACTTGCTCTCCCTCTCTGCCATGTGAGGACCCAATGAGAAGGTGGCTGCTTGCAAACCAGAAAGAGAGCTTTCACCAGACACTGAACATTAGCTTGGACTTTCCAACCTCTAGAACCATGAGAAAGTAATTTCTCTTGTTTAAGCCATGCTGTATATGGTATTTTGTAATGGCTGTTCAAAGTATCCTAAGAGAAATAGCAATTTTGGTTCAGCAAACATAAAAATATTAGAAAGTTGTAGCATTAAAATATGTATTTCTAGTAAATAATAGATACACACACACACACACACACACACACACACACATATATATATATATATATAAAATAATAGTAAGTCTAGGATCCAATATATAAAATAGTAGGTTAATGATAAATGAGGTTAGAATAAGAACCCATTTTGGAAAACATTGAACATTATTTCCTACTTTTGGAAGATAAATAATTAATATGTAAAATAATAAACTTTAATATGAAGAAATGTACAAGAATAATTATAAAATGTTAATTTAGGGAGGGCCATTATCACAAGACAAGCATCAATTGTCATTATATGCAACTTAACCTGCTGTGGCACCTAAGTGAGGTCCACCTACAAAGATAGTTAACCTGTCTTCAGTCCAAAAATAGCATAAGGCAAATTAAAAAGGAAATAAAAAATTAGCAAAAATGTATTTGAAGCATTTATAAAAGAATTTCAAATATTAATATTTTTAGTCAATAAAGAACTTTTTAAAATCAGAAAAAATCTCAACAGGAATTGAAAGTTAATATATAAAAAAATCACTAATTTTACTAGCAAGTTAAGAAAGAAAAATGAAACAATCAAATTTATTTTTCTGTATTGAATTACAAAATAAAGCAGATGACATTTTTTGTTGGAATTGGTATGGGGAATCAACAACTCATTTCTCCAGGAATTCAAATTGAAGTGGTACAAGGTTTTTCTGAAGGTTTTTGGCAACACATGCACATTAGTATTCACGTTTTATGTGTGAAGAAGCACTTTGTTCAAAAGAAGATTGACACTGACATATGAAGGTAAACATAAGAGTGTAACATTACATAAAGCCAGGGCAATGGATGAATTTTATCTGTAAGAATAAACAAATAACAAAAATTTTTGTTATTTATAAATGAAAGTTCAATACTGTTATGGACTGAATGATTATCTCCCCCCTCTCAATTCACACGTGGAAGTCATAACTCCCAGTGTGACTGTATTTGGAAATATTTTTATTTGTATATGGAGGTAATTAGTATTAGATGAAGAAATGAAGATGAGAACATGGTCTGGGGAATTAGTTAAATAACTAACCTAGCATGGTTATTGAGAGTAGAGCCAATCCTTAGTCCTAGCCCTTTAGTCACAATACTCTTCTATTATTTGAAAACAACATAACCACAAAGACTACTCTCAATGATTCCTATGGTGGAAAATTATCTCAAATCATAGCAATCATTATTTTCTAAACATTTGAACATGTGTCATAGATGATTTTCCATGTGATTAAGTTTTTTTCTCCGCATGATCTCTATGTCTTTTGAATATTTTAATTGAAGCAATTCTGGTATAGAGTATCTACCTTTCATTTCTAAAATAACAAACAACAACAAAAGACTCCTAATATAGCACCCAAAAAAGTGTATACAAGATTCTGCTATATCCTCCCAGATAAACTAATTCCAAAATGTATGTTAGCATGTCTTAAGGAGATAAATTTTACAGATGCCATTAGCTATTGCCAACTTCAAATTTGTTATTACTAATTGATTTATTTATCTGAAGCTCATGTTTCTAAGAAAACTCTTAGGTCATGATAATAACTGCATCATGCTGATAAACTGATTGCTAGAAAATGCATACTCCACAGAAACAGGAATTGTGGGGGGATACGGCTTTGTTTTGACAAAATCAGGCACCACATTTTCAAGGAATATTTTAAAAGGAAGGGAAGTTCAGAACACATCCCACTTTCACCATATAGATAATTATCACCTTTTTTTTTTTTTTGAGATGGAGTTTCACTCTTGTTACCAGGCTGGAGTGCAATGGCATGATCTCGGCTCACCACAACCTCCGCCTCCTGGGCTCAGGCAATTCTCCTGCCTCAGCCTCCCGAGTAGCTGGGATTACAGGCACGTGCCACCGTGCCCAGCTAATTTTTTGTATTTTTAGTAGAGACGGGGTTTCACCATGTTGACCAGGATGATCTCGATCTCTTGACCTCGTGATCCACCCACCTCGGCCTCCCAAAGTGCTGGAATTACAGGCGTGAGCCACCGCGCCCGGCCATTATCACCTGTTTTAAATAAAAAGGTGATTCCTAACCACTATGACTTCCAAGAATATTTGAAATCTCTCTTGGCTACTGTAATTTCCTAATGACATCTACTCATCTGCTGTCATCCTTGGATCATAGCATCAGCTTTAAGAACTCTGGATTTTTAATTCAATTTAATTCATCCTTACTCTATTCTGTACCTATTAGTATTCTACTTATGCGTCAAAGCCCAATACATTCCTTTTACATGAAGCCTTACCTTTTAAATCCAGTGTAAACATGGGGCCAAACTGTATCATAGTGCCTGTATTCATTCTGAAAACTAACATCTCTGCTTTCAAAAAGCTTGCAGCCTGGTATAGTCATTCTTATCCAGGGTACATGTCACCCACTAAGATACTGGAATGAAAGATGCTCCATATGGGGTTGTAGGATGTACAAATTTGTTTCAAATATAAATAATAGGTAACTCAAGTTACAAAAGAACAAATTTCTGCTGCCTCCTGCTTCTCCTGATCCTAGTGTTAACAGTGGGGAGGGTGTCCAGGTCCTTGGCATCTTGAACAAAGCATTGGACAAAAAACACACAAACAAAGCAAGGAAGGAATGATGGGTTATAGTAAAAATGAAAGTACATTCCACAGGGTGGGTCTGAGCGCAGGGGCTCAAAGACCCTGTTACAGAATTTCGGGAAGTTTAAATACCCTCTATGTAAATGAAGAGGATGAAGTAAAGCTACAAAGTCATTTACTTGGCCTACCGACCTATGAAAAGGATATTTCCTGTTATAACTGAAATGTGAATAGGCTTATGTTCCCTGCCTCCAGACCTTATTTTCCTGCCTTATCTCCCTGCGGAGAGATGTGAACCCATAAATCTTAATGGGAGGCAGAGGGACCAATAATCTTTTTTCTGTAACTGCTTCATGCTGGCTTGGGCCATAGTCCCTACATGTTGGGGATCACAGAACTCACCCTCCTCTGTCTAGTGGAGACAAGGTAGCTTCTTGATGGTGAGGTGTGGTGTCTTCACCTGGAACTTGCTGGAATCTTTGTTGCATGATCATCTGAAGGTGGATGGTCTCTAGGTGAGAGGAAATGAATTTGGTTAAACGATTTAATAGGCGCCGGGCACGGTGGCTCATGTCTGTAATCCCAGCATTTTGGAAGGCAGAGATGGGAAAATCACCTGAGGTCAGGAGTTCAAGACCAGCCAGGGCAACATGGTGAAACTCTGTCTCTACTAAAATACAAAAAAATTAGCCAGGTGTGGTGGCATGCTCTTATAGTTCCAGCTACCTAGGAGGCTGGGGTAGGGAAATTGCTTGAACCCAGGAAGCGGAGGTTGCAGTGAGTCGAGATCACACCACTACACTCCAGCATGGCTACAGAGCAAGACTCCGTCTAAAAAAAAAGAGAAGAATGGAAAGGAAAGCATAATAATGTAGCATAATAATGTGTTATGACATCAGCCCTCTTGCATGGGAAAATTTATACAACCAGAAAACATGCATTGAAGATAACAGTTGAATAAAATCTGTTTATAAAATGTTTAAATGGCCCACCAGGTGACCAAAGGTACATTAAGCTTTAATTATCTGCCCAGGAATAAGGGACCAAGCACTGGTTATAAACTAAACAATTTCAGTATTGGCTGGTTTAACATGAAAGTCTGACAAAGTATTCTCTTGGTATTTAATTAATTTTTGTTTTATTTGGGTTAGTAGCATTATACAAGGAAATTTGGTTATTTATGTAGTTTACAGTAACTTAACATAATAACCATAACTATAATCAATAGCATATACTATTTTAGAAATCCATACCATTTTGGAATATGTATTATTCACAAAAATATAACCTAAAGAAGGCTGAACATCATTTCAGAAATTCCATGTACCTAAACCTGTCAAATAATTCTGTTTACCTCTTTTCTGAATGTTTTTAGGTGCCCTCTGATCCATCCAGAAAACCAGGCATTAAGAAAAATAATTTTGAAACTGAAGTTTGATTTTGGAATTTCATATTATCATAAATTATTTATTTTGTCAAAATGATGACTCAGAAATTTTAAAAATTCTGAGTCAGAATTTTTAAAAACCTTTTATAACTTTTTACAAAAAAATAAACACATTCTAATGTGTTTACACACCTTGCATGTAAAACTGTTTCTAGTAGTATTAACTGTGTATTACAATGGTGACTCTTAGTAATTTTAACTTTAATGTAAAACCTAGTAAGTTGTGTTCTCAGGTTTGACTATTTCCAGCATAGCTTGGGGTGTGCCCAACTCCACATTTCTCCTGGCCTTACCTAGCTGGAAAGCAGGCAAGTTAAACAATTTTCAGAAGCCAAAGAAGCAGTTTATGGCCTTAAAACATTTAGCAAACCTAATATTTGAATATAATTTAAACCACATGCTTATATTCTGAAGACATTGTATTTTACCAATAATCTGTAAAATCATCTTTATTTCCGAAAGACTACTAAAGTCACGTGAACTAAGAGGCATTACGTTTTCTACTTTTCTGGCAAAATATTTGATTTAAGCTCTTGTTTTATTAAACCAATTAATTTGAAACTATACAGAGCAGATTAACCAATTTGCACAGAGAAGTAAGAGGCATTACGGTTTCAGCTTTTCTGGCAAGATATTTGACTTAAACTCTTATTATCATTAAACCAATTAATTTAAAACTTTACAGAGGAGATTAACCAGATTGCACAGAGAGAAAGAGGCCAGAGATTGGTAAGAAATTTTTACCCTTTTGCTGGCATGCCAGTTTCTAGGTTCTCTTTCCCCGAGCAGCTCCAGTGACCCTGCTTGACAGTATGCAAACAAACATATTGCCATGAATTAAGAATATTCACAAATAGTTTATAAATTTGGAGAAATTAGGCAGAGAAAGAAAAATATGACTCCAATTCTATTTATGAAAGTATATTCAACATGTTTAAAGTATTAGAAAGCCTAAAATCCAAAAAGTTAGCTTATAAGGATAAAAAGTTTGTGTGCTCCATTAATTCCTGTGGCCCAACAAAAGTAGCTTAGGAATGATGACTTGCTAGAAATGCATAGGAAACAAAATGACTATTCACAGAACCAAATAAAAGCCTTCCACTAGAAATTAAAAAGCATTATGCTTTTGTATATATGGATACACAACTAATGTCAGAGGAGAATAAACAGCAAATGAATGAAAACTAGAAGCAAAAACAAATAAACAGGAAACCAACCAACCCTAAATTTTCCTACTCAATTTACCCTTGAGGCTACAGTGTTACCTAGGGTCCCCCAAACCCACATAATGAATATTTCATTCCTGACACACAATTCATTCCTTAAGTTCCTCAATATCATTATACATTCTGTGCAATCAAGAAATTTACTTTAGGCACATGACCAGTAAGTACTCTAGCACTATCCATGCAAAACAGTAACATAGTGTGAAGCAAAGCAAGCATGTACATGAAATTTGGCTCCATGCTAAATCCAGCTTCATGCTTAACTATCTTAAAAAAAGAATTGCCAAACTGCTGATGAATTTTATTTACAATACTTCTTATTTGACTTTAATTAAGACTAAGAGCTTTTACTATGAAAATGTTAATTAGCAAAATGTCCCCAATTCTTTATCAGGTTTTTAAGAATATTTTATTATTCAAACTTTTTCCACATCTTTCTCCCCTACTTAATGATTCCTTACTATGTGGTTTCATAAATAACATTTTCAAATCTGTAATTTAAACTAACTTTTAGGTAACTTTTGAATTGACAAAATTATTCTTTTTCCACTGATAACATAACTCTTTCTGGTACATTTTGTATATAGAAGTAGGTGTTAACCAGAATTTTATCCTTAGTAAACTAAAACTTTAGTGAAACCCTAAAAAGCAAGTAATCCTGAACTATTAGATATGGGCATTTATAGATAAGAACAACTCCACAGTTTTAGTAGCATATTTCCCCATATTACAACACTTTTTTAATTGGAAATACCCACATATTAAATGACCATTAAAAATAACTTTGAGATTTTAATTTACATAAAAAGTTTACTGCAAACATTTATCCCATTCACTGCACTTCATTTTTTGCTTTTAACAAGGAATACATGATACATCAATCCAAATATGTAAAATGAACATTGATTCGGTCTGGTCAGGCCTGGAAAGGTGGGACAACTTGAAGTGGGGAAGGTGGTTGGGACATCCAGGTCACAGGTAGGTGTGAGAGGAATGGTTGCATTCTGCTGAGTTTCTGATTAGCCTTTCCAAAGGAAGCAATCAGATATGCATTTTTCTCAGTGAGACTTTGAATTTAATAGGAGGCCGGCTTGTCCCAAGCAGCTCCAAGCTTGAATTAATACTGACATTTAAAAATATCTAGCAAAAACAAACATAAAATTCAGACAAAATGTATGCTGACAATTCTGATGGCCTTTCTATTTTCATTCCAGCAATCATTTTAAAGCTAGCTTGTTTAGTAAAGTTACACTTTAAGTCATGTGAACTTGAAAATTGCTTAGACTTTACTTAATTTGTCCGTGTTCTTTTACTTATAAGCCAATTTTGGTACAACATGTAACAATAAGTTAACATACAAAAAAATACATCTAGACATGTATACACATACACACAAAGGTCCAATAGCGTGGAACCCTAGCCATGAGATAGCAACACAAGCTTGCTGGTTTTACTTTGCTCCAACAGATAATCCAATAAAGGCTATGAACCAAACTTTCAAGTAAAACCGTCTCCATGGCAGTTTGATTTTTAAAAGATAAACCTCCCCAGACTTCAAAGAGCTCTGATGCCAAACAGGACCAAAGGAGGGCATCACACATTAATCAGTCCCCTACTTAGAACCACAGAACAAAAGTCTGGATACATGCAATGCCATTTTTTTTTTCCCATTCAACAATGAACTCCAGATTCCAAACAATGTTGGGGCCAAACAGCATTGCAACTGTGAGAAAATTCAAAGGAGGGCTTAGTAGTATACCTCAGAACCTCTTCCGAGAGTAGAGAACATCTTCGTTTGGCAGGTTGAGGTCTGCAGGAACCCTGGCATGTCCTCCTGTGGGGTCCAATCTGACCTTAGGTGGGTACCAGTGGCACATGCAGTTTTCCCCTTCAGAACATGCAATGAACTTCATAAGAATAGCCATGAACTATAATGAGAACTGGATGCCAGGTGGCCCTTTTTCCCCTTAGCCAGTTGAGTATAATAAGGGAAGAATTTAGCATAAGAAAAGAAGGTTTAAGTCCCCTGCAACATGTGAGTTTGCTCTGAGCTGCACCACATGTAAGGACCAGGTAACATGCACAGAAAAGATTTTTTACAAAGCCCCTCCTCCTTTGTGGCAGAGAAATTATAAACAGCCACTGAAAGACTGAAAAAGAAAGAATGGAAACAAAAATAAAAAAGACCCAGGTTCCTTAAGCAAACCTGGTAGTGGCAGTTACGTGTCTCCGCATGGAAACACCTTAGTTTCACTGGCCATGGCCAGAAACCTGCAGTTGCTTCCATGTTTAGGTGCTGCCCACCAACGGTCCCAGGTTGTAAAGGAAACGAGAGAGAGAGAGAGAGAGAGAGAGAGAGAGAGGAGAGAGAGAGCCCAAACTTTGGGTTTTCCTCTTCTTCCTGGCTGGCTCACCAAAATATGTTAACAGTGGAGGGTGTCCAGGTTCTTGTGTCTTAAACAAAGAATTGCACAAAACACACAAACAGAGCAAGGAAGGAATAATGGGTTTTATTGAAAATGAAAGTACACTCCACAGTGGGGAAGTGGGGCTCAAAGGCCCCACTGCAGAATCTTGGGGAGTTTAAGTATTCACTACTTGAGTATGCCCTATGTAAATGAAAAGGATGAAGTAAAGTTACAAAGTCATTTACTTGGTCTATGACCTATGATGAGAATATTTCCTGTCCTAACTGAAGTGTGAATTGGCCTTATGTTCCCTGCCTCCAGACCCTATTTTCCTGCCTCACCAAGAGTACCCTAAACAGCAGAATTACAATTTACACAATTTACAATTCATTTTCATTTTCACCTAGAAGGTAAATATTCCAAAGAATTT